CCCCCCCCCCCCGCCCTGCCCTTCCTGCCGCTATTGTCCTGGTGCAGGCGGCACAGAGCCGGCCCAGCCGCTTCCCCTCTGCCAGCCCCCGCCGGGATCTCGGTGTGTCCCCCCCCCTGCCCCTGTTACTGCCTCTGTGCTCCTCATGTGCAGCCCCAGCGCGCCCTCCTGCCCGCTGCCGCAGCGCCTGGCCAGCCATCAGCCATCTTCCCTCCCCTGATCTCTCTTCCCCCTCGCCGCCGCGGGTTTGGGGGCTGCCTGTGGCGGGGTGGGTCTCCTGCCTGTGGGGAGAAGGAGATGGGTGTCTAGGGTGGGAACAGGGACATCTCCTTTCCCCCCCTGCTTCTGGCAGAGCAGCTGCCAAGGCAGACATTGCAACGCTACAAGCGACTAGGATTTCAACCAGGGGCTTTCTCCTCCCATCCTCTAGCCCCTGGGTTTTACAGTTAAAAATGTGGGTTGTGTAAAATTGTTACTGACCAGGACATTGGCCAATGCCTGGAGGATGTGTCTTGTTCTGTTCCCACACTGTTACAGTGATAGGTCTTGGGGGATCAGTTGTAATAGTCCACCCTCATCCCTTGCATCCCCATCTCTTTAAAAGGTTAAATGGGAAATAGGCACTCTGGTGTGGCAATATCGACTCATCAAAGAGTCTTCCTTGCCCACCGGCTGGTTAAGCCTAGGGATCTTCATTAAACTGGGAGGGGAAACCATGGGGATGTAGATTTCCCATGGACATTTGGTTGATTTTTATCACAGTAACATCTGAAGACTCTTGGTTTCATTATGCTGTGCAAACACACACACAGTCCAAAAGCTTACAATGAAAACAAGGACAAGATGCAAGAGGAGAGGTGGCAGGGTGATTTGGCACACAAGTCTGCATGTGTTAGTAGCAGAACATACAGTTTGGAGGCTTCAGTGTCCAATTTTAGTTAAATTAGTGGAGGAGAGAGAGAGAGATGAGTCATTAAAGCCCCGATCCTGCAAGTTGTTCCATGTGAGACTCATGCAAAATCTTACTGAGGTTTTGTATGGGTGCTGAAACCTGCCTGTGGGGAACAGATTCCAGGATCAGGGTCTAGGAAACCACCTGCTTATGCCATTATCTTACCATATCTCATCCTGCATTAATTTGCTGTGATGTGCTTAGGTGTTGCAACTGATATATGGTCCTCTATCAAGGAGGCTGAGAGCAAGAGGTGATCCTACATACAGCACCATATATGCTGCAATATTTGTACACATCAAGGTGAGTTGACATTGCATTTCTTGGCACTGTCTACATTAAGACAGATGCTAATTTGATTAATCCTGTTCTATCGTGCTGTTGGAGCTACCTGACAAAGAAGATGTATGGCATTCAGTATAAAAAGTGGACCCAGAGTTTTTTCCCCAGGGATCTAGATGTTTATCTCCATATAATGAATTGTCCTTCTCTATAAAAAGGTGGAAGTGCAATTTCCAGACCCCCACACTCACTCCTCTGTGGAAGCCTCTCTGCTAGGCTTTATTTGAAAGGAGTGGGAAGGGGAAGGATTTGTTGGGGCAGGGCTAGGAGCTCAGAAGTAGCTGTGCTTGGAGGTAATGTATTCAGTGAACTGCCTCCCGCTTTCCCCCCAAGATCTGGATGTGAATAAGTATCTAGATACATTGATGATTTTATCACTTCCTTCCAGATTTGGGGGGGAATGTCCTTTTCCCACAGGGATGTGGGGTTTGGATGCTTGACATTCACCCTTTCCCCTTGCAAACTATCATTTGTTTTTCTCTACCCCCATACTTTTGAGGGGATGGCTTTCAGAGAATTCCATGAGGTGAACCACATCGAGCAATCCCATTATCCCTTGAACCCACTCCTTTTGGTTTCTCAGGGCAGGGTGGGATCTGGCCTTGAAACCATAGAAAAGAGCCAGACTGATAAATTTACCTCAGTAGAGGTCGCTGATGTGAATGACCTTATCATCCAAAGGTATCAGATAACTTTTAGCTCTTGCTCATAGCCCAGAGTTTACATCTCATCATGCATTCAGAATCCTCAAGTTATCAATGTTAAGCTTTTCCATGCATATGGTTCCTTCTGTTTGGTTTTGATTTTGATTAACAAAAGGTTCTATTGCAAGAGATTTGAAAGCATTATCTAACTAGCATTTGTGCCATCATATTGTTACAACAATATAGGTATATAGGAAATTTTTAATAACTGCTTGTTTTTGGAGAAAATGTATATAAGAAGCTTAAAATGCATATTTATGAGAATGCCTATAACAATTTATTTAAAGGGACGGTAGCAACTTATTTTTATACTGGTGTAACAGATTAGATAATGAGGCCTTATATTTTGTGAACAAATATTAGTTATGTTCTTGTTAACCTCTAGATTATTAGAAGCGAAAGAATTTTTGAAAGCTTGTTGTTTATAGTCTGTGTTTATTTTTAGTGTTGCTCAGTTGGGACAGTGAAAATCAATGAAATCAGTTTCACTTTAAGGTCCTCTAGTGCTGCAATGTTTTTGTTTCGGACACTGCATGGGAATGTGTACTTGTGGAAACACAACTGTTTTCAGTTGACTTGTTTTCCCCCCTTGGAAGAAACATATGTTATGACATAATCCCTTTCGGCATTAGGTTTCATAAGCAGCTTGACTTTTGTAGCAGTTAAAGTTTGGCCCAGATGTAAGTGAACAGTGACTCCTTAAGGCCCAACTCCTGTAATCAGATTTGAACCAGGAGCCACCGCTAGGAACCAGAGCTACTAATGGAACTAAAGCTGCCAACTCCTAGCAGAAGAAAAAAGACTGGAGGAAAAGAAACTGATGCAGTTAGATAGTAAGTCCAGGGGAGCAGGGGGAGAAGAAGATGAGGTGACTGAAAAGCATGGCTAGCAGGTGAGAAGGAAGGACGGGTTTATGGCTAAGGCTTGGATTGGGACTCGATGTGGGTTCAATTCCTCGCTCTGCCACAACCTTCCTGAGTGAAGCTTGGGCAAATCACTTAATCTCTGTGCCTCAGTTCTATAAAATGGGGGTGATAATATTGCTTCTATTTAGACTGGAATTTTTTTTGGGAGGGAGGCACGGCAGTGAGACTGTCTCTTACTCCATATGTACAATGCCTAGCACCTTGGATGCTACAAATGCTAATTAGAAGAGGACAACCTAGTAGCAGGAAAGAATGTGCAGCGAGAGAGTAGAAGGGAGAGAACAAGTGGAAGATGGAGAGAGAAGAACAGAATGAAATGAAGAGCAGAAGATTGCAATATAATTACCCCCCTCCCACTTATTTACAGTATTAAACACAGATAGAAGGCACTGAGGCCCCTACTATCACCTTCCCATTGCTGTGGCTGCCACAGGGCTGATACAACTGCGGATGTGAGGGGAGTTGTCCATGAGGAGCAGATCACCCTGGAAATGATTGGAGAGTCCTCGCAGACCCATTCCATTGACAGGCTGATCCAGTGTGTAAGCTGTGCTGTCTGCAGGCGTGGAGTTGCTTGGGAAGCAGGAATGCTTGTAAATGAGGGTCGTCTCCTGGGCAGCACTGCTCCCTATTCTGGGGACAGCATTACACCAGTGATAAGGCTGTAACACCTCCTCAATGCAACTATGATTGGAGAAATAGAGACAGACCCACTCCTTGGCCGGTACTGCTCTGAAATAATCAGATGGTCTGGCCTGTAGCAGGAGAGGTGCTGTGAAAGGAGCAGAAGCATGGGAGACTCCTGCCCTTGCCACAACAATGGTGGAGAGGGGGTGTTGCTCCTGTCTCAGATTTCCTGAGCTGGTGATGGACCATTCTTGGAGGGAAGGGAATGTCTCCTCCCGGAAGGGAGCTGTCCACTGGGTCTTCACTATGGCTACATGGCCTTTTTAATGGGCTAGTTCTGTGAGGCGCTGAGTCCTTTTCAAGTCCTCTCTATGTTTATGGGAACTGAGAGGGCTTACTTAAATCTACCTTAATGGAGACACATTTAGAGCCATGGGACTAAGTGTCATTTTACAGGGGGTTAAAAGCTATGAATTTGACACTGGCTATTTAGCAACTTCTACTATATACTATAAAAAAGTATGAAAGAAGACATAAAGATGAAGTGCAGTGAGTACTGGTTTTATCTTACAGTAGTCCAAGGCTTTTAGGGACTTTTCCCCCTTTTTCTGTGGCTTCTTCTGTATGTTGGGAGAATGGGAGATTCCATCAAACAGATCCAGATCACTACCGTACTAGTTATTTTCTCTGCATCACATGGGTTAATTCTGATCAGCGTATCTGGGCAAGTCTCCGAAGGTGGGGCCTGATTCTCCTCTTGTGTTACACCTGAGTAACTCCTGATTTAGCATGAGTGAGGGGAGGACAGGCCCATTGTTTTTTGTAACACAAACGATGGGTGAGTTTAGAAGAGGAAACAATATTACTGAGTCAATGAGGAAATTTTGACCAAGCTCCTGGGAGATTCCAGATCCGGTGGCTCGCTGTGGGCCAATCTGTAGTGGAAACCATCATCTCTTTAACATGTTTTAAGGGAACAAATGCTCTAAGCTCTCTGGAAGTAGCTGAATGGGAAGGGTTACAGCAGGCCTCTGTTAATGAAAGGAGAGAGAGGGTGTTCCATTCTCACAGCTGTTCTTGACACTTCGCCATTGATCTCACGTGTGCTCTCATACAAGGCTGCTGAGGCTGCATATAGTTGTCACACCTTCCATCTGAAGATCGGAAAGCACTATATAGACATTAATAAATTTAGCCTTACAGTACCCCTGTGAGCCTGATAAATACATCTAATCCCCATTAATAAGGCTAATACTATTGTGATGAGCACCACAGAAATGCTTACAAATAATGATTATTTAATGACAAAGAGGAGTTAAGTGACTGGCGTACGGTCACCCAGGAAGCCTGAGCGGAGTTAGGAACACTGGTCTTTTGACTCCTTTTCTCTCATCTTTATTCCCAGAAGTGTGTAAATGGTTAATTCTCACAGTATTTGCACTCCCTCATATAAACATGCCATTCAGAATATATATGGCATATTGATATACTGAGGGTGAGGAAATGTAGGGCTTGATTTTTGGGTTGCATATGTCCAGTGAGCTCTGCAGATGCACTCCTGCATGTAATCCTGGGGTAAGTAAATTATGCCATCCTAATTTGCTAGTAGTTCTGCACTAGATGGTTATGGGTACAGATGGCTCCTCCATTACTCAAAGAAGCTCCCAAGGGGGGTGGGCCTTGCAACCGTATTCCCATTCCCCCGGATTCATTCCCTAGTCTGCAGCAGTTGGATTGTGGTAATCCTTGAATTGGTCTCATCACTGCTGCTCTAGGAATTTGGAGAGTAGCACAGGGGTGAAGAAGATCTCAGTTGGCTGCACGTGGAAGGAAGCACAAGCCATTCCTGAGGAAAATGCTGAATAAATCTGCAGAGGAAAATTGTCCCTCTAAAAAAGCACTGCTTCTCATGCCACAGTGCCCCTAAATTTGCACTAGCCTGCAAAATGACATTTCCCCACTCCTGACTATGTGGTGTTTCTGCTTCTGCACACAGAGCCAGCCAGTATAACTTCAATCACATCTGCTTTGGAGATGGAGCAAATTACCTCCAAAGTGTAGAATGGGGGCAGTCGAGTAGTTGTGCGGTTTGATGCTCACCTTTATACAGGGGCAGAGGCAGTGGAGAATGGAGCCGACAGGATGTGCTTCCAACTAATGGACAAAGAAGGGCTGAAGCTAGAAATGGATGAGCTGGTGAACACAGGAGAACGTCATTATAGCATCTGCACAAAGGGTGTCTGCATCCATATGATGTTATAGTCCTGTTTAGGAGAAAAAAATCAGGAAATGATTATGCTTGAATCCTGTACTGTGTTGTGACATGGTAGTTGCTCCTCTGCATCGAATCCAACAGCTGACAGGAAAACAAGGTAACAAAGCAGTGAGCACACACACCCAACTATGTACTAAATGTAACATAAATATTTGATTTAGGATACAGGTAAAACATGTGTGCACACTAGGGTAATCTTTCTCACGAATCAAAGTCCATGCTTCTGGTCCAGTATCACTAGTCAAGGTCACGATACAGAGAAAAGGAAGTAGAGCTGGTCAGAAAAGGGTTTTTTTCCCTGGCGGCAAATATCACCGAAAACAAACCAAAAACAATTTTTTTCTAAGTTTTTCCATGGAAAATTTCAATTATTTTTGGCTGATTACCAAAATATTTTTCTCTGGAAATGTTGCCATGGTCCTTCAAGAG